TTATACCTATTAGAATATCTAGAGTCAGAAATAATATGAAAATGTTCATGAGAGTATTTTGGGAAAAAAATTACACTTCCAAAAGATAAGAACTATAAAGTCCACTCAATGACTCCTGGCAGTTAGTGTCTTAAAAAATACAAATTTATGACCTTACAGTTTTATAGGGGAGAAGTCTGATGCTAGGCTAAAATCTGGATATTGGGAGGGCTGCATTTCTTTCTGGAGGTTCTCTGGAAGACTGTTTCCTTCTCAAGCTTGTCAAGTAAGAAGCATTTTATGATTTAAAAAAAAATAAAAACAGTACCCCATCATTAGTAAAACACCAAGAAGCACACAATTCATTATTAAAGATTAGAGTATTGACTTTAAATGTCTCCTCTGGTATAGTGCTAACCATGACGGTTCCTTGAGTGTCTTTATTAATTTTTTTTTATAAATGCAAAGATTATTTATAAACTTAAAGTTAGTCAATCAGTTCTAGTATTAAAAAATACCAATTTTAGAAAACTTGCATTTGGAATGGCATCTTTCTTTGAAATCTTTCCATTATTATTTTAAAATGTTATTTTTAATAGAAGAATCAATTTAGGTTTGTAAAAAGACAAAATTTCACAAAGGAAATTTGACATTTATTAAATTTAAAAAGCAAATTTAGAGTGTCTAAAGATACACAAGTAAAAAGGGGTAAAATTTTAAACTTGATGAAAGGAGGAATGCAGATTAAACAAAAATACATTCATGCAGTGAGGCTTTTTTGCAGTAAAATAATCTAATGGCTAATAATCTAAAAGTTGGGTGCATTTCAAAATCATAAATTAGGGATATAAGGCAATAAATGAAAGACTCCTCCCATAACCTATAGAAAGGAATCTATTTTTGAAGAGAAAAAAGACAATACAATAAAAAAGATGCAAAATTTTTCTCAGCTAAAGTTATAATTAAAAAATGCCATCCACTGGATTAGTTATCTTCAGGTATTCAAAGTTAGTATGTGACAATGGCACTTAAGTTTCTTTTCATTTCAAAATTGATAGAGGAATTTATATTATATTACATCTCTTGCTGGTGAAAGGGGAAAAGACAAAAGATAAAAGCAAACAAAAAATCCCAACTCTTTGGAGGCACTACAGTACAACCAAAGCAGTCAGAACATAGGAGGCCAAGATTCTAGATACACGAGAAGGTGGGTATGCAGGTGTTTTCTCTCAACACACTTTCAGAATCTGTGTATGGGGAAACAGAGGCCAAGTGGCAGCCAAAGCCTTCAGGGCATCTTAGTGAAATGGGAAGAAAAAAGTTGAAGTTTGGGCCTACTAAGGATTTCAAGTGTCAAGAGTCTAGAAAGGAACAACAGAGAAATGAATCAAAATGCCTATATTTGCCAACTTCTAAGATCAACATTTGCTGAGTAGTTAGAAATCAGGTGCTGAGAGGTTAAAATGTTGAACAAATACTTCAATAATTTCAAGGGCATTAGGGAGGCAGAGATAAGAGTTCAAGTTTTACCAAAGAGGAGTAACTGGGAATACTCCTCATAGTTTCAGCTGAGTCTCCAGAATGATGACAAACTAAGAGAAAGATAGACTAGAAATAGATCAATAGTAAATCAGTGTCATCTCACGTTCTATCTGCCTGTGCAAAGAAAATTAAATATATCTGAGAAAGAAGTCACCTTCAAGGGTCTCTATTATTTTTCATTCACAGAGTCTGAAGTTCAATTTAAAACTACATATCCAATGAGCCAAGAGTCCTAGGACCAGGTATATACATAACAGAAATGACTACACTACATGTATGAAGTCATGGACAAGAAGGTCCAGGGCCTCCCCGGTGGCACAGTGGTTGAGCGCTGGGTAGCGAAGCTGCCCGCAGCCTCTGCGGCGCCGGTTCGATCCCCGGCTGCTCCCCGGCCACCAGAGGAGGGTCCCACATGGCGCGCAGACCTCTCCTGCCGCCCGCTGCTCCCCTCAGCAGTGTACTTCGGTCCTTCTGCCTGCTCTGCTCCCCGCTCTGGCTCTGGTGAATTCTCTCACCCTCCCGCGCTTCTGACTGTACCCAGTGCATGTATAAACAAACAAACAAATAAATGAAACATGCCTCTATTAAAAAAAAAAATAGAAAAAAAAAAAGAAGGTCCAGAGAAGCTTAATTCACAATAGATCCAAGTAAATACAAATCAAGTGTCAATCAAAGTATAATGTATAAGTAATCATTTATTTCATTTCATATTCATATGAAAATGAAAAGAAACAAATTATTTTAATGGATGAATTTCAATGAATTTCATAGACATAATATTGAGCAAAAAAAGCCAGGCCAAAAAAAAAAAAAAAAAAAGAGTACTTATTGTGCAATCCCATTTGAACAAAGTTCAAACAGGAAAAATGAATTATTGTTGATATGCTAAAATAATGACCATCTCTGCAAGAAGGTTATCTAACTGGGAGAGGCCAGGAAGAATGCTTCTGAGGTTCTGGTAATGTCTGTAACCTCATGAATGATGGTTATGTGAATGTATTTATCCATTTATAAAAATTCATTGAGCTACTCATTAAGATTTTTCTACATTGTTTTATACTAAATAAAGACAGCTTTAAAAATTCATCATCGATAAAAAAAATTCTGCTGTCTAAAATTGAGTTTGAATTTGTTATTGGGTTTATGCTCATTTTAAAAGAATGTATTTTGTTTCAATGAGACAAATACTAAAGAATAATGTAATCACCTCTTTAAGGATTATATAAGCAAAACACATAATGGTTGAGAATAAGCCATTTGTAAAAGAAAATCCTGTATTTACTTTCAATTAATTTCTCTAATTATGTGATTAGAGTGTAATCATAGAAAAACATTACATTTGTTCATTCCACAAACACTTACTAATTATGTATTATTTTTAAGTCCTGAACTAGGCATTGATCTACTCAGATCTATACATCTGAAGTAATTAAGACTACAGATCTAACCAAAACTAAAACCAATCCAATTTGTAGCTTGCTATATAAAGGATATACTAAAAGAATATGGATTCTAGATAAGGGGATTCCAAAAAACATGCTTCCAAGGTAATACAATCCAGATAATGCAATAAGGGTATCCTGACTAGAGGGAAAAATATGGGTAACAAAATTATTCTGTTCACCAGAGATACTGTTACAAAGATAAAGAAAGCTTAGTATCTATGCCATTTCCTCAATAAACTATTTCACAAAATTTCTACCAACTCCACTTCTAACTAATAAATTTAGCAATTCTGCTTCCCTGGTAAGAGAAAAATGACACCTTGGTCAGTAGATATGAATCAATCATACTCTAGAAAGTGAATTAATAAGCTGACATTCTGGTGACTCTTCAGTGGCTATTATGAAGAACTCCTCAAAATACTTCCAACTCTTAGTGCACAGATAAAAAATGCATTTTCTGGACCTGTAAATCTGGGAATGGATTTAGGGACATGGTGATCAGTTCTTGAAACAGCCACTCTGTGAAGTGCTGTCAGCACAGCCTGCTCATCACTTTATATATATTTTTTTTTACTCACAACTTTAAATCAAAAGTAGGCAAGCTATATAGTACAAAAGCCAACGCCAGGCTGTTGCCTATTTCTGTAAATGAAGTTTCACTGGAATGCAGCCACATTCATTTGTTTATACATTGTCTACCATGATATAAATCACACAAAAGAAATTTGAATAGTTGTATTATTGACAATCTAGCCTATACGCTTTAAATATATACTATATAGACTTTATTAAAAAAATTTGCTGATCCCAACTTCAGATAATTTCTCCCTCTCTAACCCTAACCCTAACAGAGCTCATTTCTCAAATTTCAGCAACAGAGACTTGCCTCTAATTTCAATTAACTGCCAGAGACCCAGAAATGAAACTCCACTGGTCATCAACAAATTACTATAAATCAATGTTTCAGAATTGCAATGTAATTATAAAGCAGCCATTGCTCAGTTTCTCCTCTAGAATAAATCCTGTAGGTTTACAATTCTTAAATCATCAGTGGTCTCAAATTAGCTTTCTATAAGTTCACCATCCCTTTCATATCTTAGAGCTTGTTAGGCTTATTGCTTATAAGTATGTGGAAGATAGTATTTATAGTCTCTTCATTTTACACTCTAATGGATGGATATACCCCCAAATTATGACTCTTTCATTTGGAGGTGGGTATAATTTTGGTTTTAATGGCAGCATTTTATCAGTAACAAATTCTTTACTGCTATTGAAATTGTCCAAATCCAGTTATTTCCCATTCTAATATTTATGAAATCAATTATTTTACTCATCCAGAACAGCACCTTGACAAAATCAAAACTGAAAAACAAAGCAGTCATAAATGTACATATGAGTTGCTTTCTTTGAAACAGCAAGCTTTAAAAATTAACTTACATGGTAAGTCAAACGAGGACTTTGACTATATATAGGAAAGAATACAACACAGCCTATATTTTAAAATATGATAGCATTACATAGGAGCAAAAAGAAAGATTTAGAAAATGACAACTTCTAAAGCAGCTGAAGCAAAACAGGCTATTGTAACTATAATGCATCACAACTGGTTACGTAAAAAGGAAAAGTATACAATGGTAACTTGGTGAGCAACACAAGATCACATTTGAATTACTTTCAAAAGAGAATAAAATAATAGAAATGCATTCAGAGAGTTACATAGCCACAGAGGAACCACAAAATATGAGGAAAGGGGAAACTGAGAGCTAAAAGTTGAGTAAATCCTCTAAGGAAAATTTTTTCCTGAATTTTACACAATGATATTCTAAAAATTTGAAGCTTATATATAAAAGAGAATTGAAGGCCAGAATATTATTCATTCATGACAAAAATTTAATATAATGAGTAAAATTATTAATGAGAAAAAACTTGACCAAGGAAAAAAAATTAAACATCCATACTTTACTCCTGAATAATTATACCTATATATATATATATATATATATACACACACACACACTACTCAGTAAGTTTTACCTGAATGTGTCCGAAAATGCATTTCTAGACTTGATTTGCCTTTGAAAATTTTCTTACAAACATCACATTGATGAAATGTTGCTTTATACCTAAAAAGTAAAATAGTTTGAGCTTTTCAATATAATTTTAATACATAACATAATGAAAATACTTTACAACTTTATTACTCTTTGTCTTTCTCTCTCTATATATATACAGATATACATATCCATCCATCCAACTCTCACATTAGTAAAGCACAGAGTTACAAAGGCACATAGAAATACTCTTTATCACTCTTACCACTGGTTCTTCTTCCTTTAGGTTATATTCAACAAACAAATCTATAAAACAAGTCCTAAGAATTTCAACTGTTAATCATTTAATTTTAAGCTTTAAATCACTGAAACTTTAGTTTATTATTATTACTCACTATTAAAAACCAAAGGAAAAATTATAGGGATGAAACAGATTACTGATGGGCTGAAGATGGAAAGACTGGTTAACTATAAAAAGCAGCATGATGGAAATTTTTGGATTGATGGAACTAATTTAGTTTTGACTGTGCTAAGGGTTACAAGATTGTATGCATTTGTCAAACCTGCAGATCTAAACATGAAAAAGAGAATTTTGATGTACATAAATTATATTTTGATCAAAAATTTAAAAAAAGATGCTGAGGCTGAATCAAAGAAACTGCAGCAATCTCAAATTGTGCATCTGACAAAAAGTGACCCTACCATCACTGGTTCACTTGATTACAAATAAATATAAATTAGAACTTAAATTTCAATTTACATTAAAAATTATACCAGGACTTTATTTTTATTATAGACATAAAAACTGAAAATTACAAAATTCAAATCAGTAAGTAGTATAGTGAAGTGCCTAACAGTATGTTTGTGAGTTAAACAATTCTAAACTCAAAATTTAACATAAAGATTAAAATATTCATAAAATGATTAGCATTTCAGTAGTAGTTACTGGGAAGTCTATATTTGACATTGGAAACAATTCATATATAATGTGTACACAGAAATGTAATTAAAGCTAACATGTTCTACAAAACAGATGAAACAGACATTTAAAAAGATCAATCTGATTTAGTAAATTAAAAGTATCAGTGATATACTTAGTAAAAGATTCAGAAGATATATATTTGGTTTGACTTTCATAGCCATGGTAAATATAAATAGATACAAGCAGGGTCACATGGGCACAAAGAGAAAGAAGATGTGGTACTCAACCATGGGTAATTTTGCAATACTCTCCATTGGCAATACCTTAAGAAATTTTCAGTTTTCACTGAAAATGGGGTAGATAGGTGCTACTACCACCTAGTGGTAGAGTCTGTAATTACAAACATCTCACAATGCAGCCTTTCACATCCAAATATTATCTGCCCCAAAATGTTTATGGTGCTGGAAGTAAGAAATCATGGCTTATACTATGAACAGAGTGATGTTTTAAATAGAAATATGCTCAAAACACTTTAATTGTCTCACAGAGGATAAAGATAAAATCAGGCCATATGTATATATCCCTCTATTCTCACATGGATGCTAAAGAGTATAGATTTTCAGAGCAGGAGTGATAAACAGTTCCAAATGAAGCAGAAATCTCCAGTGAGCAAAGACTAAAAAATGTCTGTTGGGTTAATAGTAAATTCAGAGGCCCAAGTGTACCCCCTGCAACAGTGAATGGAAAGTGAAGTGGATACTGAAGCTGAGTCACCATTTAAAAATGCTTGGAAGGGGTCCTCCCTTGTAGCACAGGGGTTAAGTTGCAGCACTATGAAGTAATCCACAGCGACTGCAGCAGGAATTTGATCCACGGCCAGGGAAGTGACCCAGTGGCACCTCTCCTGTCTCACCCATTGCTCCCCTGGGCAGTGTATTTCAGTCAATCCACCTGTTCTGTTCCTCATTCTACCTCTGGTGAATCCTCTCACCCCACCCCCTCAACTCCCACACCTCTGGCCTGCACCCCACTTCTTGTATGTATAAATAAATAAATCTTTAAAAAACTGTTTAGAAGGAGTGAAGAAATATTAGAAAATAATTGGTGGGAGGAGAGGTGCTAATTCTCATAACCTTCCACATTCTCTCTTTGGATAATCTTTTATATACTTACAAAGAAATCTTTACTCATAGCCTAGATTTTAGTCCTGAGATTTAGGCTATCTACCTATCAAGTTTTATATTGACATTTGTATTGTGTACCTCACAGTCAATACACATCATCTCCCTCCAAAATCTTAACCTATCGTCTACATTCTCTGTATCAGTGGCAAGTATCAGCCACTGAATTAAATCAGGAATTCTCTGAAATTAAAATCATTTGGGCCTCCTGGGGCGCGGGGGGTTGAGCACAGCGCTATGAAGCTGTCCACAGCCTCTGCAAAACGGGTTCAACTCCTGGCTGGCCAGGGAGAGACCCACATGGTCTGGCAGACCTCTTCTGTCTCGCCTGCTGCTCTCAGCAATGTTTTTGGTCCGTTGGCCTGTTCTACTCTCTGCTCTGTCTCCGGTGAATCCTCTCACCCTCCCGCACCTCTGGCCTGTACCCCAGTTCTTGAAAGCATAAATAATTAAATCTTTAAAAAAAAAAGAAATTAAAATCATTCATGACTGCTCCCGTTCCCTCGATAAAGGACTAAGTATTTTTCAATTAAGTAGCTTCCACTGTTCATTATTAACATTACTCCCTAACTTATGACACCTATGCCCTCAAAATTTTTTCCTAGATTATAACAGACTTCTAATCAATTGATTTCTCTGCCTTCAGACTTATTTACCACAAATCCAGCCTCCATATATCAATAGGCATTATCTATCTAAAATGCAAATCCAACTGTATCACCCTGTTAAAAATCTTCAATGACCTTATATCACATGGGATAAAGTACTGGTTCCATAAAATAAATGTAAGGCTCCCTTTTCTAGATTGCAGAAAGTGGAGCCCTATAAGTTTTGGTTCCACAATTATCTAAGTCAGCAAGCCCTTGCAGGGGGAGGGGATTCCAAAATTATTTCAGAGGGTCAAGAGCTGAAAATTATTTTCAAAACAATACTGTAACATTATTTACCTTTCTCGTTGACATTGACACTAACGATGCAAGATAAATGGTAGGCAGAAGGGCTGGTATCTGAGCTTTAAACAATACTGGTATAGCAAACTACATTCATCACCATGTACTCATAGAAAGGAAAGTGTTATAAAGCAGTAAAATCCCTAATTTTACTAAATTTTGACTTTTTAGACTGTGTTTTTTTTAAATATTCTTTTAAATTTTTTAAAAAAGATTTATTTATGCATACAAGAACGGGGGTACAGGCCAGAGGGGCGGGGCGGGGGGGTGAGAAGATTCACCAGAGACAGAGTGGAGAACAGAACAGGAAGATCAACTGAAATACACTGCTGAGGGGAGCAGTGAGCGAATCAGGAGAGGTCTGTTGTGCCATGTGCGTAGCTCCCTGATAGGGGATCGAACTTGTGCTGCAGTGGCTGTGGAGAGTTTCATAGGTTGATTCTTAACCCCTTGCGCCACCAGGGAGGCCGGTTTTTTAAATATTATCTGGGATGAAAATGAGAAGTACACATGAAGTATTTTTACTGCACTGACCAAAGTGTAATGGTTATGTCAGAGAAAAGCACCCGTGAAACTGACTTGGGAGCTGAAGTAGCTATTCTCTTCACGGAATAGCATTTTACTTGAAACAATGAAAGAAATAAACAATGAAAGAAATAAAAATTACAGTTAAGGATGAGTATTTGCAGACATTTTCTCAAAAATTAAATGAAATAAGCTTGTTACTTCTAGGGTAGATATTGACAATATTTTCTATCAACAATAAAACTTGAGCTCTCAAGCAAATTAAAAATTTTGGAAACTCCATCTGACCTTGTGATCTTGATGACTTCCCAGTACTTGTTTCTGAGATTGGAGGCATTATTAATAAATGTGATCTGGTGCTCTAGTATTGTGAAATATGCTAACGTTTGAAAAGTCTGCACAACCCAGTCAATCTATATTTTTCAATTGACCAATGCAAGATATAATATTATGCATAGATTAAAAAACATTAAAATTATAAACAGACCAGTAAATCAAATGTAACAGAATATGAAAATCTCAGTAATCTTGTTTCAGATTCTACCTTTCAACAAACTACCTTTAAGAATCTATCACTTCTTTAGACTTGTAAGAGCAAAGGAAAATATCCATAATTATCTATGAAGGTTATTAAACTACTCCTCCTTTTACCAACCAGTTAGCTGTGTTATTTACTTCATCCAAAATAACACATGACAGCAGACTTAGATCTAGCTGTCTTCTGTTAAGCTATAATAGAGATTTACAAAAATGTAAAAGTCACTCTTTTAATGTTTATTTGTAATTCTTTTCTACAAAATTGCTATTATATTCACATGTGAAGGTTATATTTAAGTGAATTAATAAGTACATTTCTTATTCAAATTTTTAAATATAATTTATTTAAATGATATAACATTATCATTTATATAAACAAAGGGTATTTTGTTTCTGAGGTACCGAATAATTTTTCAGTATATAAAGAGGGTAGAAAAAACTTAAAGAATCCCCACAGCAAGTGAGTTTTTATTTTTTTTTATTTTTTAAGCAAGTGAGTTTTTAGTTCGAAGACTGTATTTCACCCATTCACACAAATGTTGAAGTTCTTTTTTGATACAGCAATATGCATATCTTTATATCCTATCATTTAGCGGCATTCTTAGTATTCTCTGACTATGATGAATACATTGATTCAATGAGTGCATCATGAACAAAATCGATAAAACAACAAACCAAAATAAGAAAATGCAAAAATGAATAAAAGTCAACACTTCTTTCAAATGGATCTATCATTTTACTGCATTTACATATACTACATATATTTTGTTATATATACTACATAGAATTTGTTGCTCATGCTCAGTACTATTAAACTAAGCTTCTTAGCATCTTAGAAGATCATGTCTATTACTTACAGCATTTGCTCCAATACTAAGTCCAAGAGGTGAATTTTTTGAATACCTTTACACTCAACAACTAATCTCAGTTAAACCTGGACATCTAAATTGTATTAAAAAGTTAATCTTCAGGACCACATGCATCCTTCAAATAAAATATCACTTTTAATAGAATTCAGTGATAAGAAAGACTTAAATTTTGATGACACTTTGTAATAACTGCTGTCTGAGTAAGTATAATGTGCAGTCACTATATTCATATTTAGCTCTCAAAGAGTTACACCAATCAAAGATAAATGAAATCACCAAAGAATGCCAAGACTTTGTATTAGTTTTTTATTTAAAGACTTACTCTTATTTATTTATGCACACAAGAACTGGGGTATAGGCCAGAAGTGGGGGGTTGAGAGGATTCACCAGAGACAGAGAGGGGAGCAGAACAGGCAGAGTCACTAAAATACACTGCTGAGGGGAGCAGCAGGTGGGAGAGGAGAGGTCTGCTGTGCCATATGTGGGTTAGCTCCCTGGCCAGGGAAGAAACCCATGCTGGGGTAGCTGCTGACAGTTTCATAGAGTTGACTTTAATCCCTGTGTCATCAGAAAGGCCCTTACTAACTTCAATGCATACAACCCCTAGCCTTTGAATCAACTGATAACAAGTAGGAAAAATTTGCTTCGCTCAACAACTTCACTCAATATGCCATAGAAACTACAGATATAAAGCTTATTAACCTATTCTCAATAAAACAAAATAAACTATATGACAAACTATAACTTTCTTCTAACTTACACTTATCTAATACAGTGATTATGAGAAACCTTGCTTTTTCACTTACTTTTGCCATACTTTCTCTCCAAGGTGCACACTTTTGTAATGAACGGTGAGATGATCCCTACGACCAAAACATTTTCCACATTCTTCACACTGATGAGCCTTTTCACCTTAAAGACCCAAACATTTTGATTATCAAATACATTTCAGAGTCTTAATCTCCCAGAAACAAATTATCAAACAGTAAGATAACATGGTGGGTTATATTTGAGGCAAATAAAGTAATCCTTCATTCTGGGGTTTTTGCTTTATATTCCTTACTCAACTATTTTTCTTCAATAAATCTGCTTACTTTCATGAATGTGAACCTTTTTCCCCACTTGGAAAAAGGTTCTGTTATAGACTTCAATCTTACCTTTCAATGTAGCAAGATAAATGAAATTACTTCAAACCTCAGGAAAATTTTAGGGATATTTAAGTTTGTATATCAAACATGTCAAATGAATGTAACACAGAATCAAGATAGAGCTATCTTAAATGTTTATAAAAAGGAGCTAAATATTTTCAGATATTTGTACTTATAAGACTATATCCGTGGGGATTTTTTACGCTTGCAATGAGCCAAAGTAACAAATATAAAGGGAAATCTTAGATGAGTTCAATTTCTTATCCACGTTCTTATATTTGGTTATAAAGTCTAATCTTTAAAAATCACAGACTCAATACCAGTGTGCAACTGAACCATGTGACTTCTAGAATTAGGAATTAGAATTCTCTTCCTATAAGTTAAAATGCACAATTCCAATGAAAAAACCATCAAACTGTCAGTGTCAAAGTGAAGATAACAATTGTAACCTGACTCATTGGGATTATTTAAGAAACAAATACTATCTATTTCATACTTTATAGTTAAATTATGTTTATAATCATAATAATAATCACCTGTTCTACTGTGCTCATAAACAAGGCTCTTTCCCATTATTGTGCACATATAGTTCATCCTCTTTGCATTTCCTTACCAATCTGAGAGAAAAATATGAAAGAAATCCCCAGAGTATAAAACTTACAAATAGAGAATAAAGATCTGAAATTGATCACGTTTATTAAAGTACTCTCTCCAAAGAGAGAGTTTAATAAATTCACGATTATATAAACTTTAGTACCTAATTATAATCATTTCTTTTCAAACATGTGAATTTTGCTAACTTCTCTCAAAACCCATCAAAATGAGAAATGCTCTCTTGGCTTCTCCCTTTAGGGAAATGCCAAGAGCAATTATACATAACCACATAACACACAAAATGCAACTTTTAAGAACTTGACTAAAACAAACTTTAAAGTATAATTTGTCACAATAAAGGGCAAACAATTAACATCACAGTGAGCAAAAACATGTCATAAAACTATGTACTTTTTACATACTTTTAAAGGCCTTTATAACCAGCAGAGGGTTCAGAGACCAATGTATACAAATTTATTAAAATTATAACCAAAGAAACATGATGTAGTAGATCCTTTCCAAGAGCATTTTAAAATGATTTTGAAAACATCCTTGCAAAACACACCTTACCTGAATGTATTTTTTTATGCTTTGGAAGGTGACCTTACCTGAATGTATTTTTTTGTGCTTTGTAAGGTGGTCATGACGAATAAATGTTTTCCCACATTCATCGCACTCGTATCTTTTATCATCATGATGTACTCGTAAATGAAGTCTATAAAAAAATATTGAAGATCATTGAAAGTGGTGACATAGGAGGAAAAAAATTAACTCTAAATAGTGAAAACTGGCTTATATACTCAGCCACCCTCATACTTTCTTTATATGCTCCATATCTAGGACCTTCAGGGTCTTTCCCACTCTGTCAACTTCAGAGTCCCCACACCCTTTTTCTAAAAAGCACTTCAACAACTGCACTTGCCCACACTACTTCCTTTTGGAGGATACGCCTTCCTGACTCTTTAGATCCTAAATTTCACTGAACCTACCAATGTCAAGGGTCATTATCTATCTGATTGGCAAAATCTCAGAGGTAGTAAAATTGGGAGTGAATACAGAAGGAATCAGAATTAAATGGGGTAAATGTACAAGTGATCTAAATATAGGTTATATAATGATAACAAATGGTAAAGGAAATAATTAAGAATTAATTCTATTCTGGACAAGTGATGCCACTTAAAAATATAAAGTTGAAAATTCAGTAAATTTTATAAGTAATCAACTTTCTGACATTACATTTTACTTTTCTTCACACTAGCCAAGTAAAATGTGGATCATTGTATAGCCACCCCAAACCAGATTATAAAAGGTTTAAATTATTAAAATTCATTTAACCTTTCATTTTTTAAATTTTTTTTTTATTTTTCACATCATTGTTCATTTTTAAACAATTATTTGCTTCCCCCACCCCCTCAAATGTAGTCCCCATAGTTTCCTGCACCAATGCACCCGTGCACCATTACCTCAGTCCCCTGTGTTCCTCACTCCCTCCCTATGATTCCCCTCCCTCCCTCCTCCTACCCTGCAGTATGTCTCTGATTTATAATTGTCTGTTTTTGCTTTGTTGTGTTTTGTACTGTTGTTATTTTTTTACACTGGTGTCTTATTTGGTTTCCCTATATTCCTGCTATAAGTGAAATCATCCGATATTTTTCTTTTTTCTTCTGGCTTATTTCACTGAGCATAACTTCTAGCTCCATTCATGTTGCTGCAAATGGAATGAGTTACTCTTTTTTGATTGTTGAATAATATTCCACTGTGTATATATACCACATCTTCTTGATCCAGTTATCTATTTTTGGGCATTTAGGTTGCTTCCAGGTTTTGCCTATTGTAAATAGAGCTGTAATAAACGTAGGTGTACATGAAACATGAAATCATGTTTTTGTGTCCTTTGGGTAGATCCCTAGGAGTGGAATTACCGGGTCATACGGTGGCTCCATTTTTAGTAGACTGAGGAACCTCCAGACAGCTTTCCATAGTGGTTGGACCAGTTTGCACTCCCACCAGCAATGTAGGAGAGTTCCTTTTTCACCACATCCTCACCAACATTTGTTGTTGCTTGTTTTTTTTTGATATGTGCCATTCTTACTGGTATAAGGTGGTATCTCAATGTGGTTTTGATTTGCATTTCCCTGATGATAAGGGATGTTGAACATTTTTTCATATGCCTGTTGGCCATTTGCATTTCCTCTTGGGAGAAATGTCTTTTAAGTTCTTCTGCCCATTTCTTGACTGGATTGTTTATTTTGTTTTTGTTGAGTCCTGTGAGTTCTTCACGTATCTTTGTGATTGCTCCCTTATCAGTTGAATGGAGTGCAAAGATAGTCTCCCAATCAGCAGGGTACCTCTCTGTTTTGGTTTAACTTTTCTTTTTTTTAAAGATTTATTTATTTTTATACAAGAGCTGGGGTACAGGCCAGAGGTGCAGGAGGGTGAGAGGCTTCACCAGAGACAGAGAAGGGAGCAGAACAGGCAGACAACAGAAATACACTGCTGAAGCGAGCAGTGGGCGCGACAGAGAGGTCTATGCACCATGCAGGATTCTCACTTGCGCAGCTGGGATCGAACCCGCACTGCCGAGGCTGCGGACAGCTTCACAGCACAGCACTCAACCCGCTGCGCCACCCGGGAGGCCCGTTTAACTTTGCATTTTAATTTGAATTATTTCTATCCCCACAATCCTCTGTGTACATATATGTTCTAGTGAAATGAATAGCTTTCCCATTCAAGTTGCCAAAACAGGTGTTGATTTTACTATAACTAAAACCAGTAAAATAACTAAACACATATAAAGGGGAAACATTCTGTGTAAACTTAAAAGAGATAAATAATGAAAGTTAAATATTAAAGCTTTAACAATGAAATTCATGAGGGCATTAATAAAAAATAATTTGTACACATACCTCATAGTAGATCTATTATTTATTCAGAAAAAAAAACCTCATAAATTGCAAATGTTGTTAGAAATCAGCTATAAAAATAATTATATAACTTACAGGCTTCCCAACTTTGCCATATTTTATGATATTTTTTGATACTCCAGTGAAGGAATGTATTAATTTTAGAACACAGCTTTAACTCAAAACAAAATTAATGAAATAACTATTTGAGGGATGACAGTGAAGATAGTAAAGCATTCAGCAAACTTAGTGGTGAGGAAATAATGTTTTAAAACAGAACAAAGTTAATATTAAGAAATCATAATGTCAGGGGAAAAGCCTATACAGTAAAGATTTTTTTGCCCAATTTTACTTATTATAAGTTTTAAAGAAATGTTTTTATTGAGCAAACAAGTAAAGCAGGGCCTCCCTGGTGGTGTAGGAGTTAAAATCTCAGTGTTCTCAAGCTATCGCCAGCCACTGAGGCTTGAGTTCGATCCCTGCCAGGGAGATAACCTACATGGTGCAGCAGACCTCTCTTGTCTCAGCTGCTGCTCCCCTCAGCAGTGTATTTCACTAGATCCACCTGTTCAGCTCCCCACTCTGTCCCTCTCACCTCCCTGCACATCTGGCCTACAACCCAGTGCTTGTATGCATAAATAAATAAAAATAAATCTTAAAAAAAACAGGTAAAGCAATGATAAGAAAATGAAATTAAAATGGAGATGTGATTTTATGATATTTAAAATAGGGAAAAGATGACTTACCTATACGAACTTCCATGACGAAAACTTTGCCCACAAATACTACAAAGATGAGGCTTTTCTCCACTATGGATTCTCAAATGTTCTTTCAAAGTAGTTCTATGTTTAAAAAAAAAAAATATATATATATATATATGTAAAATATATATATGTGTGTGTTTAAAAGATTTCATTGATGTCATTGTATATATTAAAACAGATTTCCAAAAAGCTTTTTAGAAAGGTATTATAATTAGCAGACACTATATTTTTGCTCCCTATTGGATTTGTCTCACCAGCATGCATACATGCTTAATTGTGGCTTCCTCCTTAAAAATACAAGTAAAAACAATTTAACTTTGACCTTGTTTGCCACTGGTTTGCTCAAAAATGTAATCCTATAGCATTAGTAAACTTTTAAGAAGTAAAAAATTCTTATCACTACTAATAATTAGGTAAAACTGATGTAAATTTTGGTGGAAGGTAAGTTTTAAGTCAAAGAAAAATTTTATGTACTTGTACTTTCAGATGCCAATGTGAAAAAGGGAAAACATGCAGAATACAATTATTGCTATCCTAACACATCCAGCCTCACTGCCCTTGGATAAGATACTGTATAATCTCTGTTGTTCAAAACTATCACTAGTATTTCCTATAATACTAACATTCTGATATTTCGCACATATTAAAAATGCTGAGTAAGATGGATAGTTGTTTTTGGGAAAAGGAAGTAAAAGGCAGTATGTCTGACCTCTGCAGGCTTTTGGTTGTCATTACCAGTTGATGGTTTTTTCCCAATCCCAAAAGCTGAATCTGAATCTTAAACAAAGGTAGATCTATGTCAAGAGATGGTGCTCCTCTATAAGGTCCACCAACATTTGACAAGAGAATCTAAAGGTATACCCAAGTTTGTAAAAAAAAAATCCATAAACCTATTCCTAGACTCCTACCTATTAAGAGATTAAAAGTTAAAAAGTTATTTTGGTTTTTATTAAAATTTTGTTTTTACAGAAAGATCTTTAAAAGGCAAAAGAATTTATAATGCATAAAATGAATTTTATAATTTATCAATCTGTAAGAATAAGTTTTCAATCAAATACAGCATGGCATGCTGATTGTCCTATTTTGTCTCACATTCATCTGTTATTTTTAACTTTTTTAATTATAGAACTTTTATATACTAGAATATAAAATTTATATATATGGGGTCTCCCCAGTGGTGCAATGGATTGAACCACAGTGCTGTGAAACTGTCCACAGCCTCTGCAGTGCCAGTTTGATTCCCGGCCAGCCAGGGAGATTCCCACATGGCGGCAGACCTATCCTGTCTCACCTGCTGCTCCGCTCAGCAGTGTATTTTGGTCCTTCTGCCTGTTCTGCTCCCTGCTCTGTCTCCTGTGAATTCTCTCACCTTCCTGCAACTCTGGCTTGTGCCCGTGCTTGTATAAATAAATAAATCTTTAAAAAAATTATATACATGGCTTAAAGAACAGTATTAAACACTTATATGCAAGGTAAGAGACAGAACATTGCTATACATTAGAATGCTTCTGAATTCTTCTTGATCTGAATTCTTCTTGCAATCTTGCTCTCTCAGAACGATCTTATGTTAAGGATTCCCTTGATAGTTTATTTTACTACATGTGTACATAGGTATATACTACCTATATCACTAAACATACTGAATGCTTTAGTATAAAACGCAAACCTAACGATATTGCCACTATTTGATAAGACCCACAAATAAATGTTAAGAGGTTTCCTGGATCAAACCTGACTGAGGCTTCCCTAAGTATTATTAACAAGAGACCATTTCAGTGGGTAAAATCATGAACAATTACTGGTGAACATAGAATTCACCATTATCTGAGCACTGAGAAGCTAGAATGGACTAGGTATAGGAAATCTGGCAGAAATATGGTTAATATGAATGTGCAACTATGTATTTTCTTCTAAGCATATTACCATGACCTACCTTTAATTCTCATGGATAGGTCAAAAAAGAACTTTTCTATGAAATGAAACTAGTGTCATCAAGTAAATCAATCAGCAAAGCTTAATGAACTTCATTAGCTTACAGGTACTATAGAGAGGCAGAGTACAGATAAGAATTTGGATCAGGGAAGGGGGAATAGAGTTGCTATTCAATGGGTATAAAGTTTCAGTTGTGCAAGATGAAAAAGCTGTAGATATCGGCTGCATAACATGTACCTGTGGTTAACAATACTGAACTGTGGGCTTAACATTCATTACTAGGGTAAATCTTATATTAAATGTTCTTTTTTTAAAATGTTTTTAGATTTATTTATTTATTCATACAAGAGCTGGGGTACAGGGCAGAGGTGAGGGGAGGTGAGAAGATTCACCAGAAACAGAGTGGGGAACAGAACAGGCAGATTGACCAAAGTTCACTGCTGAGGGGAGCAGTGGGCGAGTCAGGAGAGGTCTGCTGTGCCATATGGGTTGCTTCCTGGCTGGCTGGGAATCGAACTCCTGCTGCAGTGGCTGCGGACAGCTTCATAGGTTGCATCTTAACCCTTGCGCCACCAGGGAGGCCCCTATTAAATGTTCTTACCACAGTAAAAACAAACAAATGAGAGGACATTTTGCACAGACTGACTCAAATATTCTATCTTCTAGTTAAAAGAAGAAACATGGCAGCAAGGATCTTAACAATGACAACCTTCAACATGGAATGGGTCATTTCCACTACTAGTATGGACTGGCTACTGTTACACATGTTATACCTGACATCTCGGGATTTTCATTCACCATCCTCCAGTGAATTCCCTTTGCCACTTTTCCATGTTAGAATGCCTACTTCCTATAGCCCTGATTTCCTACTTACCAGTTTACTTTCTCATTTTGGCGAAACAAGCACTTTAACTTGCTTCATGAGTAAGAGGACAATAAAAGCTAATTTTTAACATTACAAAAAATGTTTTATTTTCTCAGACTGGATTATCACTTTAAGAACATAATTCTAGGTTGGAGATTACTTTCTTTCAGAATTTTGAAGGTACAACTGAATCATCTATTTGTATTGTTAACTAATGGCCTGTGTGGGTGATAGAAAAGCCAATTATCTAACTTGTAAGACAATTTTTACTCTAATACTCCTAATTTTGCCTCTCCTTCATCCCAGTTCCAAAGTTATGTTATACTGCCAGTTCCTATGCCTCCTGTGGATTCTCTGATGTAAACTAGGTTCTTGATTTCCCCATTATCACTTCTGGTAGATTTGCTAAAAGTCAGTTACCATTGATAAACCTGTTTTCTGTCTCTCAAACCTATGTTGCTCTTGTCAACTTTCTGTTCCTCTTTATAGTTTACTGACTTTTAAACAAACAAACAATGAACAATTAAAGTAACCTTCAATGCATTTTTAGTGAGATTACAGAAAGGGACAAAATATCCATATAAAATTTACTAATCTAAACTAGCAAATCTTGACTTCACACTACCTCCTATAACATTTTATATAATTTCTTTTTTTATCCTTAAATTTCTCCAGAACAGTATCAGTATTTTTTTGGGTGTAGTTAAGTCCTCACCTTTCTCGTACTGATTTTCCACAGATAAAGCAAGTCCATTTTCTCTTTCCACCATGGGTACATTCTATATGGCGTTTCAAATTTCCAGTGTCATTAAATTGGCGACCACATATATCACATGGAAAAGGACCTAAAAAGGAAACAAAAGTATGCTTTTAAAGGCGAGGTTGTGGAGAAAAAGAACTCTCCTGCATTGCTGGTGGGAGTGCAAATTGGTCCAACCACTATGGAGAGCTGTGCAGAGATTTCTTTTTTTTTTTAAGATTTATTTATTTATTATACAAGCACTGGGTACAGTCAGAAGTGCCAGAGGGTGAGAGAATTCACCAGAGCCAGAATGGGGAACAGAACTGGCAGACTGATGAAGTACACTGTTGAGGGGAGCAGCAGGCACAGCAGGAGAGGTCTGTACACCATGTGGGACCCTCACCGGTGGCCGGGGATCGAACCAGCTCTGCAGAGGCTGCGGGCAGCTTCGCAGCCCAGCACTCAACCATTGCACCACCAGGGGAGGCCCTGTGTGGAGATTTCTTGACCTACTAAAGATAGAGCTTTCATATGATCCAGCAATTCCACTCCTAGGTATTTACCCAAATGACACAGAAACATTAATTCCAAAGGGTACCTGCATCCCTATGTTTGTAGTGGCACTATTTACAGTAGCTAAGCTATGGGAACAATCCAAATGTCCAAAAGTAGATGACTGGATCAAGAAGATGTGGTGCATATATACCACGGCATATTACTTAGCAATCAAAAAAGATTAACACATGCAGTTTGCAGCAACATGGATGGAGCTAGAAGGGATCATACTCAGCGAAAGAAGTCAAAGAAAAAGAAAAATGCCGGATGCTCTCACTCATAGCAGGAATTTAGAAAACCTAAATAAGGGACCAGAAAAAAGACTAATTAATACAAAGTAAAAATCAAAATCAACAAGCAACTATAAACCAGAAACACACTACGTGGGTGGGGAGGGGCGGAGAGAGGAAGGATTAGGGTCAAAATAAGAGGGGGTGCAATTGTATGGGGAATATAACCAAAATGAAAATGCATACATTGTGCAAAAATGAAAAATGATGTAAGAATTATATAAAATAAAATATTAAAAAAATAAAGTTTAAAGAGCAGACACCAAATGAAAATAAGTAGGTATGTTATAAAGTTGACCCCCCCAACAATTACTGTATATTATGCAATTATTTATTTAGTTTTCTCTTCCCTTCTAGATTATTTATTCCTAGAATGCAGGTTACAATTACCTCTGTATCCCTAGAGTTGAGTATAGGGCCTAACATCTAATTGTATATTAAGTGCTGAGTATAAACCAATTCTTAATTTGAAATCAGATTAATAAAATTAGAAAATAATATACACTAAATTTCTCAGGATAGTGAGAAAAGGGAAACTGAAGAAGACTCAACAGAGCATATAAGAGAGTTGTTGGTTTGAAAATATATTGTTGTTCCTTATAACCACAAATGTTTAATGACATTGAGTAGACAAAAATTCTATGGCACATTTCTGGTTAGTCTTATAAAATTAAACCCAGATTTCTCACAATATTGACAGTCAGTGGACTCCAAAATTCACCATGATTTACCAAAGTTCTACTGAATAACAAACTGAAAAGAAGACAAAGGATGTGTCAGAAAGAAGTTGAGTTGGCACAGTTCAAGTGAACTATATACTTGGAAGATGTTTCAGAATTTGGAAAAATAAACTGAAAAAGAATTTCTAATGAAGAACTGATCATACAGCACAATGGAGAGAAAATGATATTTGGATACTGGAATTCAAACACTTATCTGTAAACAAAACTGTTGAGTAACCCCAGTAGTTTGGAGGGAGGTTCAGCATGTTTCTGCATGTTAGAATAAGAAATGCCCTCAAATTGTATACTGTATTAAATATGTTTAACATAGCCTCACTCAAAATCTCTAATTCAACTTCCATAGGATCTGAGTCTTTAATTCATTTATTAACCCATTCAACAAGTATTTTTTTGAATCTTAATTTGTATCTAGCATTGTGTTAAGTACACCAATAAGAAAAACTCCTTCACCACTGCCTACAATTTTCCTCTCCCAAAAAATCTCCAATGGAGTTAGGAAAAGGAAAGTCAGCATTTGCATAGTTGGAAAAAAATAGAAAAGCAAATAAAAGTATCCAAAAAAGCACACTATGGGAAGTGTGTTAGGTGAAGAATAATAGACATCAGCAAAAGTTTTTATAAATAACTAGATGTGTATCATGGAAGGCTCCAGCTGGACAGAGAAAGAAATGGAGTATTATCTTTCATGTTCAGTTATTCATCAGGATTCTTCACAGGAAGTAAAAATATTTTCTTCACTTACACTGGATATCCAGTTTTGCATATAGCTAAACCTTTTTGAACTTTCATTTATGAAGTTGAGTAGGAAGCTTAAACTAAAGCAGACTTTCATGCTAACTTTCTAGATAGACTAGAATTAGATTTGACTTCTACACAGTGGAATCAGGTTGAGTTTAAGACTCCATTTTCTAAGATGCCATGGTTTAGATTTCTAAGTGAAACTTAAACCTGACTAAGCCATTCAATGATGATGTAAAAACAAGAATCCTTTGCTGATCATGACTGCAGGCTCCTACACTGCAGAGTCTGGTCTGATCCCAGGTCAGACAAATGGATTTGGGAACCAATCCAAAAGTGTCAACGTAATTTACCTAACTTCAGACTTTTCTTGTGCCAGACCCTTTAAAACTTCCCTATTGCTAAATGCCTTGGGACTTCCCAGTGGTTGTACATCTGAATCTTGACTCCTATTTTAAATATATGCTACCAGAAAAGCAGGATTTGGGAGGTGGAAAATAATAGGGGGAAGGGGCTCAATGGACCAATGGTGGAGAATAATGGGTGCTTTGGTGGTGGGTGTGCTGTGGTCACAAAAAATTTAAAAAGGTGTGAACCTATACTTCTCAATCATATAGAATATTGTAAACCAATGTTGCCTAGATTTTTTTTTCTCAATCATATACAATATTGTAAACCAATGTTGCCTAGATTAAAAAAATTATACGATTAAAAAAAAATCCTCCGTGTGGATTCTGCACAATTTTATAGTTCTGCAATCGTCAATTACTAAGTCAAATGGTTTCCACATTCACAATTTTGTATTTATACTTAATTTTAAACATAATTTGTTTTAACCTGTTGTGCAGAAAATTTTTCACAAATTTCTTTTCTGCTATATTTACCACTCCTGCATTTTATGTCATTTACCAATTTCATAAGCATGAAGTATATGTTTTTGTCCACACTGTCAATAAATATATTGATAGAACTGGAAAAGGACTCTATTTGGGATGATAAAAATTCATTTTGGGGGCTGTCATAAATGTACCTACTTGTACTGCCATCTAGACCACAAGTGTTTATGTTGTTCGTAGTATTAGAGAAAGAAGTCAGCAAATATAATACTGAATCCCAAATCTACTAAGTTTATTGCATTCCTTAAAAAAAGATAACTTTTTTCCACACATACACACAAACCTATCCCAAACACAAAACTATCCAATAATCAATTTTGAACTAATGCTACTTATGACCAGGAATGTATCTGCCACCAAAAAATAAATAAGTAAACATATTTTACTCATCTCCAGGAACTGAGCAAATCTGGTATTCCTTCCTGTTTATATGATTTTTTTTCTCCTTAGTGGTTCAATAGCAGCAGGCTTCTCCAGCATGATGTGATCATCAATAATTGTTATATGACTGCTTTTGGAAAAAGTAATTTGCTTACCCAGATGGAATTTTTCTTGATGCTTTAACCGTGCAAATCGTGATTTGAAATGTTCTTCACAATAGGTACACTTGAAAGGTTTATCTTGAGAGTGTAGAATCATATGTTCCTCTAAGTGTGGCCTTCGAGTAAAAGATTTCTTACAAATCTAAACGAAAATGCACATGAAATATAAGGGAACCTGAATTAAAACACAGAGCTCAAGGTGAAAAAGAAAAACCACATAAATTCATGAAAAGATAAATTTCTATAGAAATTTCTGGAGAAACAGAAAGCCTAGCAAAAGTATAATTAAATTCTAATTGTGATGAAAAAAAATGTCTTAAAGGAAGTATTGTTAGGATTTATTTTAAATTTATATTAAAAATTGCTGAATTTCAACTTCCTACATTTCTGACAGCTTAATTTCTAGGATTATGGAATAATGTTACTATATAACTCTCATTAAGATTTTAAATACATTAAGTTTATATTTTAAATCACTTATATGTCATGAATAAAAAATTTACCATTATTGCCATGTATTTAATTAGAAAGAAGAGTAAGAAACCACAGAACACATTAAAATTTATTTCTTAAAGTACTCAACAGGAAGAGACACAATTTTATAAACATATTTGGCAGACATTTGAAAAGGGAGAGGAGGGACTGATGTAATAATAATTATATAATAACAACGTTATAATGTGTAGTATGTATCAGGTATGATACTAAGCAATTCATGGATTATTTTATTTAATTTTCACAATAATCCTTATGAGGTAGATACAATTACCATTTTACAGATGAGGATGATGAACTCAGTAAGGAGGAGAAAACATAGTATGTGAAAGTGAAACAATAATTCCTAGAAGCTGAAATCAGTGAAATGGTGAGAATACAGCTGTACATATAAATTGAAGCTTATGAATAAAGAAGCTAGAATGACAGCTGGTGATTCCTTTAAACAATGTTTACCTAAAAATGAGATAGTCCTTTAGTGGTGTGGTAGGATGAAAGTATTTATAAAATCTTTGCTACTCTTACCATTGAAAAATAGAGACTAATTCTTCTCCATTTAAATCTGTCCTAGCTGTAGTGACTTTTTTGAGCAACAGAGTGTATTAGAAGTGATGCTCTGGGACTTTTGAGGCTCCACCACAAAAAGCCTTACAGTTGTTATCTAGGCTTCTTTGAACATGCACTCACCCTTGGAGCCTTGTTGCCATGCTAAAAGGAAACTCAAGTAGCCACATGAAAAGATCAAAGTAGAAAAGAAAAAAGGCTTCTGGCTTACTGTTTTGGGTGAGCAGTTAGCATTACCAATGCTAGTAATACTAAGCTGCCAGCCATGTGAGTGAGCCACTGGCAGTGGCCCCAAACAAGAACCACCCAGACCATTCATCAGTTGAAAACAACTGTATTTCTGTTGATGCCATGTGGAACAGAAAATTATCAAAATGTGTCCCAAATTTAGATTACTTATCCACAAAATTGTGAGATATTAAGAAAATGGTGGCAGACACTAATTTTTCCAGGTGGTTTGTTACAGTAGCAACAGACAACCAGAAAAATTCATTCACTCTATATTTTGCAATGTAACATCACAGTTTATATACACAACAATGAATATATCATACAGTAACTACAATAAAAATTGAAACCAAGATTTCTATTTCTCAGGTTGTCAACTAAAAATTAATTCATTTAATTTAGAAAAAATATTAGCATAACCTTGTACAAAAGAAACATTTTAAATGTATAATAGGCTAGGTTCATATTACTTTAAAACCTAACTACTTCCGCCATGTAACATTACATTTATTTTGCTTTTGTTTGAATGTAAGGGTGATTCACTTCATTATTATTTTTAATTTTATTGACGTTTTTGGAAGTAACCCTGGTTTACAACACTATATATGATTCATAGATTCATAACTCTTTAGCTGTATGTTACAAACTACACCCATCATACCAGTCTTCTACTATAAATAAAATATCTTACATCACATTTCCAACTTTCACTCTTAGTCTTCTTAATAGAAATAAATTCTTGAGCATTTTCAGGATGAAATCTAGAAAAGAAAAAGATTATTAAGATTGTTAGTTAAGTTAGTATTTCAAATCTGATGATAGTAATTACAAGAGCCAGGCATGGATTTCTTACAGAAATCACTTGTGATTACTTCAGAAATATAGGAAGATATTATCACTTTAATAAATGTGTATGTAGGCCTAAGTTTATACTGAAACAAACACAGAGAAAGTGAATTACATTTTAAACACATTCAGAAACCTAGCTATTCACAGATAATCTTTACGGTTATTCATTTGTTTTTAGACCATATTTCAGTAAATTTAATTTTCAAAGCATTAAATATGCCATACACTACTCTATTTCTCAAAATTTTTATACATTGAGGACAAAGTTGAGCATGAAGATTAAATTCCCCAGAGTTCTAATACCATATATTTTGAAAACACACTTGTCAAATTTCCAGACAGAAATTAGGATAACCAAAATCCTGTATTTTGTTTCAACATCAAAAAGTTTCATGATAACATTATTTAAAAAGTATGAACAAACTAACACTTGCTACTCTTTTCTTAATAAATATGTAATCTGCAAAATATTAAGCAATGAAAGAACTGGAAACAAGCTTTCCAAGGATGTTTTTAGCTTACTACATATTTAAATTAGAATTCACAACATACTATATTATGGAAGCAAGGTAATACTTGCCTCTTAACATGCTTGGCTAAAGTCTTCTTGCTTGCATGAAGTTTATTACAATAAGGGCACTTGTGCTCCTTCTTATGAAATTCTGTTTCATTACTGTGCTTCTTTCTGTGAACAGTTAGGTTAGACTTTGTCGAATATCGCTGGTGACAAATATCACACTCAAAGGGCTTCTCACCTGTGTGAACACGTGTGTGGCTCTCATATTTCCCTATAAAAAGAAAATTAAAATGAAATTCAATACATTTACAACATAATGATTGAAATGACAGTGGAATAAAATATCGTGATTAATATCGTATTTAACACAACCATACACCCAAAAAATGACAACTTCATGTAAATGTGTATTTCTGATAAACCTCAGACTTACTGCTTTGAGTTTACTACTTCTATATTTACCTTTTCCAGAAAACTTTGCTCATTAAAAAAAAATAAATTATTCATGTTTACATGAATACATTTTAAAAATCAAGTTTTTGGGAGATTTGCTTAAAATTCTGTTGGCAAATTCTCTGAACTGAAATAAAAATTTCATATATAATCTTTAAATTTAAAATAGACCTTCAGCAGAAGATCTACACACTTAAGATTTAGTATTTTCATATTTGACTTTTACTTTTACTATTTGAAAGAAATTTTCAAATTGGACAGTCCATGTAAAAATTTCACTAAAAGACAAAATATTTTATACACATATGTAAAATAATATTTTCATTTCTCTTCCCACAGATTGTAATCTAGGAATCACTCTATAAATCTAGAATACTCAAAGGAACATATACTTCCTTACAGCCCATTCATATAAGACCTAGCCAACTTAGAAGACATTAAGAAACAAGTGAATTGCCTGTATTTGACTACATGCATAATAGTGAACTGCTGAAGTCAACATTTATGAGCACTATCAGAAAAAGTAAGAAAAGGAAAAAATTAACACACATATGCACAGAAGCTCAGAGTTTATTTAATGGGAGATTTATGTTATATTCTGAATAAATATCTGAGTTCTATACAAATGTTCAGTTATTTCCAAAAGAAAGAATCAAGAAATTTTAATATACTTTCCAAAGAGAAAAGTTACAATAAAAAATTAAATACTAGACACATTTTGGCTTAATTTTTATTTATATTCCTACTTAGATTAAAATTCTTCTACAGTTACTTAAAACACAAATTTCCACTTTACAGAGGCAAAACAGCATCACAGGAAAGGGCACAGACCCTGGACCCATGCACCTGGAAATGAATCCTGGCTCTTTAAACTGCAGGCTATGTGACCTTGGACAAGTAACCTTTATATGCCTCAAATCTTTCTCATCTGAAAAAAATGGAATAGTATTTACTTCAGAGGACTGTCATAAGAATAAATTGATAAACATAAATTGATAACAGTATGTGACACATAACAAATTCTCAAATAATGTTGGCTATTATTACTACTACTCTATAATCAAAGCTGTGAAAGTGCACAGTAAGTATCCTAAGTAAAAATTCCAATTAAGGATACTTTCAAGAAAAGGTAATAAAAATAAGAACAAACACTTTCAATATGAAGAGCAATTTTCAGTTAAAAGCTTAGCTTTGCTTTGTCCTGAAAAATAAATGTATACATTTTTCTTCAGACCAAAGCTAATGTAAAAGTATAGCATTTAAAAAAAAGATAATTCTGTATGTATCTGTATGTATGTATGTATATACACACAATGGAAATTTTAAAAACCAAAAATATTGCCACTGAGATTATTGCCAAAAAGATTATCATAATTATTTGGATATTTAGTAAAAAAAAAAATTACCCATTTATTACATGATTACATTTAATAAATAGAGTATATTATTAAAAATTAAACACACTGCACTTAGATAAAAAATACTGCGGAAAGGGGCCCAAAGTGTTTTTCTTAAGGTAAGGGGGATGGTGACAATCACAGGCAACGAAAAACCAAAGTATGATGAAAAATCCATTATATATTCAGGTATAGCACACACAAACAATGATCTATGGCTTTTTCTATATGCATGTAGTCAGGAAACTCAGTCATTATTTAGGTACCTACTAAGGTTGGCTTTTTAATTAAGCTAACAATTTTTTTAACCTCTCTCTAATTTATTAACACTTCATGGAATTGTATGGCTCCACCTGATTTGCAGTATATGTTATAACAGACCAAACTTGGGGTTTCAGCTGAGAACACTGGAAGAACTTCACTTTGTCCTCTTGCCATTGCTAAAACTGACTGGTATCCTCATTTCTCCCTCTGCCACTGCTGGGCATATCCTCCATTAACACAAGCATATATATACCCTACCCCCACCACCTCGTTCCCTGCTGTGTTCAAGCGGTAAGATCTACCATGGGATTTTATTTGGGAGAAGGGTGTTCTTCTGTGTCCCAAAGTTAAATCACAGACATCACATCTTATAAATATGTCCTAAAAACCAAGAGTTGAGCAACGTTACGCTTTAGATCAGTGTTTTACACCTAATGGTGATTAGTTTTCATAGTCAGTTCCTTGGATTGTGACTAGTATTGGTGGGGAAAAAGGGAACAGAATAGAATCAGAGTGCATTCACACTAGTTTCATGTAATTGTTTTTGCATCATCGTATACATAAACAAAACCATGTAACGGCATATTGTATAAAAATATGTGTGTTTCTCACCTCAAACTATCCACAAATAGTTGGAAAAACAGTGATCTATGTAACCTGGTATAATCATATGATTACTGCTGTAACATAATTTCTTTGGAAGTATGCTTTCTGAGTTGCTTTCTCTCTATTATTATATGGTATGCTTATATTGGATTCCGTAACATTTGTTTCACATCTATCTACTGATTATGAGATCAGGTACAGAGTATAAACACTATCAGAATGGGAAATTATCATGTACAAGAGTCAGATAACTCTCCACTATAAACATAGTCAACATTTACAGCTGCTTCTTTCTTAAGGATGGGAATTCAGTAATAATGTATAAATCAAAACATTCAAGGTTTTCAAATAAAGTTTCAATAAAAAGAAGTATTCCCTCACAGAACACTAACCTATATCCAACCATTCTAGATCACAAACAAAATGTTAAGCAACTTCATCCACAGGATTTTTCCAAACAGAATCCTAATTATAATTGTGTCGCAAACCAGGACACACAAACTAAAGATATTTTCATATGAAAATGTTTGACTTCATGCTTCAGTATTTAATTATTCCCCCGTATAGGAAATTATCATCGTCAGATTTTATGTAGTTTTTCACAAAGAGAAACATAGGCAAATTAGCTCATCACATATCTGATATTGCTAAATCTTCACTTATACCTTAAACTTACTCACATGGTTTATGCTGAAGAATATTTTATTAAAAATATTTAACTTTTAAGTAGAGAATTGTGTCACTGTTGTAAGTCTTCCTCTACTAAGAACTAAGTGGATTCTGTCAGGATAGTCTAGAATCAGTTTTTTAAAAAGCTACAAAACATTTTCTATCTCTAGAAAAGATTGTGGATTTTTTTTTTATTAATTGATATTTTAGAGGTAACATTGGTTTATAACATTACGTATGATTAAGAGGTATAGGATGATACCTCTTTTAAACCAAGAAAAAAATTTAGTTCCCAGTAGAAACAATAAAAAAAGAAAAATTATCCAAATTTTCTGTCATCCCATCTGTCATTTTCTCCCCATTTTTGCCTTTTCATCCACTAGGTTTTGGTATTAAGGGGAAAAGGTCAAAGAACTCTTATTTGCATAAGAATAGGCTGAGAGGAGGACAGCTGGTAGCCTAAGGACAAATATAACTGGATCAGGAGTTTCACTCCACACAACTATTAAATAACATCAGAAAGGATAAAAGATCCAAAGTAATGGAATCAAATTAGTAGACTACATATTGTGGAGCTAATGGTTCCAGCAGGTCTCAAGAGTTTATTTATTATCTCTCATAAACCCACTCCAAGACAGCCAAGTTAGAAGCTTAAGGAAGCCTTACTAGTTTCTTACAAGTCCAAAATAAAGTCAGAAGCCAATCTTTCAATTTAATTCAGTTAAACAAGAACTTAGTGAAAACTTATTATTTGAAATGACCTGGGTTATTACAAAGGTGACCAACCCCTTAGCAATTTCAAAAACACAACGATCTCAATGTCTTTACACATGTCACATGTTGGTTTTTGGGCCTTGTAAACTCCTTCCTATTTTTTAGGTCTCATTTTAAATACTATCTGCTCTGTGAAGTCTTTCCTAACTTCTTTAATCCTCTCTACCTATCCTTATAAGTTTATTTTTTGTTGTAATATGATTATTTTTGTATATAATCAAGGAGAGAGAATATATCATTTCATATTTGTTTAGCAATATTTGGCATATTAGAGACACTCAATAACTACATGAGATTAATGATTAATAAGAGCAGCTAGCACTCCTTGAACATCCTCTAAAAGCCATACAATATTTTAAGTGATTCACAGTCTACCCCATTTCATTCTTATAATAATTCCCATAATTCCCATGAGAAGATACTATTAGCATCATATTAGCCTCATTCTATTCAACCTATAAAGAAACAAAAGTATAGATTTGGATTTTAAAAATGCAGGCAATCTGACATCACCATAGCTCATACTTTCTAATCAGTATAATATAAACTGTCTGTCTCTATCTCTTTCACTCTCTGTCAATCTCTAAGAACTTGAGAAAAGTCAGTTCTTGCTTAGTGAGGCTACCCAACAGCAGGGGGTGGGTAAGAGGACTACAAGATAAAATACATTTAAAAAGGTGGCTGGAAATAAGCCTACAATATGATCTATTGATTCCCACAACTATCAGAGGTCACCTTGGTTTAAAAAGCTGCAAACTGCCCTCCTAATATATCAGGACCTAATCTTGAACAGTATTTTCCCAAATACTCCAGATTCTCAGGACATGAAAGGAGTACTCCAAAAGTCTTATGGTAAAATAATTTGAGGAAATGCCAGGTTGAATAAAATTAACAGAATTCTTTACTAGAAAATTTTACAGTTAATACAGATTACAAATTATAAAAGATTTTTTCTAGTTCTACCTGAATACAGAACCGCTGTCTCATAAAGCATCTCATGGAGGTAGTGTTCAATACACACGTATTGAAATCTTTGTGCAGGATCTACAAAGGCATTTGTGAAGTGACCGTTGCTCACTCATCTTGAGACAACTTAGGTCAAAGAAGGGGGAATACAGGAGGCATTAGCTAAGGATACAAAGTCTAGGAAGCAGCTCAATCAAAAAAATGTTCTCTTCTCTATACCCCTCAGAGTAATTGTTCATGGTTGTAAAAGTGTCTTTATCAAGTCACATTTACACATATGTTCTTCCAATTGACTGAATTACTCAAGAGAAATAATTTTATTCATATTTGTAGGGAGCCTCATAGTGAAAACAGTTGATACTTATTAAATTGGCTTGTCAAAAGGGTTCCGATTTAAAGAAAGATATTAAAAGCATATTAAAAAATAGAGGTTACCACAGTTATACCATAGTATGCACTATCAAATTTTGAGAGCAAATGATTACCAATACATTATAATAATAATTTCCAGCTATATAACAAAAGTAACACTGTGAGACACATGTGGTATATTAAAATGTATGAGTAACTTTACAAGATTAAATTTAGATGTTTCATTTATCATTATATCTTTATGTATATAGATATCTCTTGTATTTCATAACTTTGATTTATAAAAAACAGTCTATTAAAAGTTCCCATTAAACAGTTCATATAAGACACTTCCAAAAATCATTTCACTAGCAAATATTAGATCTCCTGAATTTAAATATTCAATGATACATTTTAAACTTAAGGCTGTAGGCCATATTTCCTACATTCACTTTTCTAATAAAGGGTGATTTGTTTATTATTACAAAAAACAAAGAAAACTAATTACGATGGATCCTCAATTCTCTACCTACAGGATGACATTACATTCAGCACAATTCTATTTCTAACTATGCATTAGTATAGTATGAAACACCCCAATTCTAGACAGTACTAGGTATTACAAAAGTGAATATATTTCTAATGCACATATTACCATACGGGGGGGGGAACAGTACACAAATTATTAAATTACATCTAATGTAATTTTCTACTCAATTTTCTACAATGACTCAAAAATGGCACTAGCTATGAAATTAACATATAAATCAAAGTTCTACCATTCTAATTACTGATACTCTGGAACTTTTCATACCATATACATGAACTAATGATCACCAATTGTAAGCACATGAAAAAAAAATAAAGGATAACATTAAAAAATCATGAATGACAACAAATTTAAAATAACAGATAAAATATATACTGAAAATCAAGTGTCCTTGCTAAAGTAATCTTTTTAAAAATGGCCTCTCATTAGTTTTTCATTATCACCTTTACAATAAAATATCACAAAAACCGTAAGTTATTAGAGTGAGAAAACAAGCATTCTTACCTATTCGGTCAAATGTTTTATCACATTTAGGACACTGCAAAATTTTTTTGTTACTGTTTTGAATGACTACAGGAGTTAACCCCTCATGAATATTTCCTACAGAATCACCAGCCTCAGGTTCCTCTTCTGCATCATGATCTTTTTCACTGTGCTCTTCAATGTCAGAGTATTCATCTGACATGTCCTCTAGCTCATCATCTTCAGCATTATATTCACTTCCAGGATCCTCAGAATCATTTCTGTCGGACTTTTCCTTATCAAAACTTTCTTGATTCAAATTGTCTGACCCATCACCACTTTCTTGCTCATCATCACTGGTGTCATCAAACTTAACAGGGCACTTCCTATTTCTTTTTGATCTTCTTGTAGAAAAACTTCTCTCTAGCATTTTTAACCCATGTTTTTTCCCTAATAAAAGGGATCTGTGGGTTTTAGCCAAATGATTCTCTAAAGACTTTTTGTAACAAAAATGCCTACTACAAAATTTACACTGATGATTATTTGATAGTCTTCCAGTTAATTCATTTAGTGTTTCCTCTGCTGATGACTTCTCAGTTAGCTCAGACTGAAAAGTAGCAACATTTTCATTATTTAGCAGTTTAACTGCATCTATAATGTCCAGAAATTTTGCAGCCTCTAAAACAAGAGGTATTTCATATTTGTACACAAAAAACTCTGATGTGTAAAGAAATTCAAGCAAATGTTGAAAAACGGAGTGTGTTACGTGATCCAGGGTGACAACATCTGTGCTTGGATTTTTGCTTAAACATGCGTGAAAGTAACTACTGCCAACAGCAACAACAACTTTATGTGCACTAAATTCTTTTCCTTCTACTATTATAAGTAAGTCACAGAAAGATGGCTGCTTCTGCCTATCATCATTTAAATACTTCAGCAAATTCTTATTATACTGCAAAGAACTCAAAAGTTTTCTCTGATCTGGAGAGGGAGGAAGTTCCTGGAAACAGCGAAGAGATTCTGGAGTTGGTCTTTCTGTGGAATGAGAATAGGTTACTTGGTCACACGCCACTGCAACATTGCCTTCTGAAGATTCTTTATGATAGCCTAGATGGATTTTCTCGTCAAGATTTGAAGTAACCTTTCTCCTTTTCTTCATTGCAGTACAACAATTTCAGGACAAGAAACTTCATAAGTATCTGAAAGGATTTATAAAAGAAAACTAGATTGTCTTGGATAACAGCTTCTGGAGGGGCGTGCCCGAGGGTTTCATGGTCTGCAAAAGAGTAAGAATCACGTAAAATAACTCCTTGCCAAAGCAATCCTAGATCTTGCACGACATTGGTCAACGAAGCTTACTAAATTGTTACTAAATGATCATAAAGTCACAGCTTCCATTCCTTGTGGCTATGATTTTAGGGCAGCAATCAAGGATGGCCGGATTAGAAAAGACAGCCAACAAAAGAATAATTGTAAAGGAAGCCAGGGCACACCTTTAAGGCCCGATTCACGAACAGGGTGGGAAACAGGAGTGCAGAAAAAAAGGGGGACCCCACCAAGATGGTTGAGGATGCAGATTGAGGCGGGTTACATTCGTGGCTAGGGGCGTAGGGTTGGTGACAATAAGGCCGTCGCGGCCCCGAAATCCACGTCTCTTCATTAACATGCTTTCCGTCGGCGGGCAAGACACAGCTCTTCAGGGACAGAGAAGGTCCTCGGCCAAAACCACCCGGCAGGAGACCGCCCCAGGAGGGGCGCAGAGCAGAAGGGTCAACGGGAGGGACGACCAAGGGAAGCACAAGAGCCTTCCCAGGCCCTGCCCAAGAGGCGACTGCACTCCCAGAAGGCGAACCCGCTACCCTTCCCACCCCAGCTTCCCTGGGCAAACGCCCCACAGACCCATTACCGGGAACCCAGGGCTCCCCCGCTGGCTCCCAGCCGCTGAGCTCCACTCGGGGCGCGCCCGCTCCAGGGCCTACCCACTTCCGGGTTCAGCCCCCCACTCGCCCTCCCTCCCTCCGCTCCTTCCCCTCCCAGAGTCTCGCCGCCTCCGCTGCCACCGAACACGTCAACCGAGCGCGCAGCCGCGGAGCCGCCAAAGAAGCCGGCGTGCGCCCAAGTCGGCCACTGCGCCTGCGTGCGCTTCATTCTTCACGCATGCTCCGTATGTTCTCCTAGCTCCCCAGGGGACCAAAGCTACGCCCCAAGTCTGTTACTACGGGTTTTCGCAGCGGTTTGGTGGCCTACAAGATTGAGCCATTAGAACCCTACCGGTGGAAGGGGCGTGGGAGCGGAGAAGGCTGAGGAGAATTTAAAAGAAATTGGCGGAGGCGCAGTGCACCAATGGTACCATCCCCACCAGGGCACTTAAAAGTTCGTAATCTACAAGACAGCAACCCAACTAACGGTGGCATGTACCCAAAGAGCTGGGGTTGCTGTTATTTTTCCGATTTAGACGGCTAACGCGGTTGCGCTAAAATTATTTGTAAATTTTTCATTGTACACAGAAAACCTTTGAACATGTGTATGTAAAAGTATACGACTGGTAAGACCGGAAAGGAAGCCCATACAAATCCTCAAAAACAAAGTTTGAAACCTGTGCCTAAGACTTCCAACAGTCCCAGATGATGCTGATACTGTGTGCTTTTTCATAGCAAGACCCTTTTAGGCTCCCAGTATACCTGGGTGGGGGTAAATGGGTGGGGTCACCAATCTGGTAAACCATCCAGTATACTTGGTCTCTGCCATGTTTCATTTTCTTTGTGTCTCTACAATCTAGGGTCTTGCTATGATATATAATCATCTAGCATGATAGTCTCAACCTGTTCTTTAAAAATGGACAGAAGTGAGAAAGACAAACCTAGATTCATAGGGGGAAAAAAATTGACACATTGCTTATAGTAGCTGACTATAACAAAAGGCAAAATCACTAAGAATGATACCATTTTAAAAAATTATTAACAACACTGTCCTAAATGACACATGAAATATTGTACCTAACAGCTATAGCATACACACGGAACACTTAAGAAAACAGATCAAGTATTAGGCTATAAAACAGTTATCCATGATTTTTAAGGAAATTGGGACAAATACTCTGTTAACAATGTAAAAAGATTGTCAAGGAATAGCAACAAGAAAATTTCCATATATTGTTAATTTCCATATACTTAATATAAGTTCCAAATAACATGATTCAAGGAGTAATCACAATGACATTGCAGGAAATGAAAATTGCAAATCAAACTCACCCCTAAAAGTTAGGTGCAAAAATTCTTAAAAAATCAAACCCAAGCGATACGTTTGTTTGGTGTGTTCGTGTGTGTGTGTGTGTGTGTGTGTGTGTGAGAGAGAGAGAGAGAGAGAGAAAGAAAGAGAGAGACAGAACACTCAATTGGATTTAATACAGGAATGCAAGAATTATTTAACATTTGAAAATTAATACATCTGAGTAAGGGGTTATTCTGGCTAAACCAACCTAACATGGTTCTTGCTGAAGGTGAGCCAAAATATCAGCTGTCAGCTGAGTGAGTTAGAGAATGCAGAACCAGGTATCAAGTTTAGAGGATGGGGGATTGTGGCTAACCTATTAAAGAGGTTTCTTGCTAAAATTGGACAAGGCAGAGATTAACAGACACTTGAAAGTCAGGGCCTCATTGAGAAAAGAGTTTAGAGAAGTTTGGCCAAGAAGAGAATCCTTGGTAAGTATCATCCAGTAAGTTGAAGGCCTTAAGAGCAAAGGATGAACTTTCCTTTAGAAAGCAAATATTGTTTAAAAATGAACAATGATGAAAAAAAAAATAGAGTTCTCCTGAGACTTAACATAGGCTGAGTTTCCACTATGTTGCCTTGCAACAGACTCAAGACTGAAATGAACTCTTATAGGCCTTTCTTACAAATTTTGGACTTAGCAGCTTCCACAATTAAGTGAGCCAAATCCTGAAAACCAATCTCTCTCTCTCTCTCTCTCTCTCTCTCTCTCTGTCTCTCTCTCTCTCCACCCCACCTACCCATCTACCTAGCTACCTATTGATCTAATCATTGTTTCTGTTTCTTTGGAGAACTATGACTAACAAACCATTAGAGAACAATAAGAACATCCATGTCTTGACATTTTGAAGGTATCAGAATTTTTTGTCAGAGAAATTAGTAGGTAGGCTACTAAGGCCCAGAGGAGACAGCCAAGGCAGAAAACAAAGAAAGAAAGGGAATCTAAACTGTGCCATCTCCTGTGGCTTCCATTTGCTGATCTGACATGGTCTTATCACCCTTTAATAGATTATTTGACAAGTTTATTTCTGAAAACTAAATTATTTTTCTTCATTTATTCATTGATACCCATTGAACAACTATGTTTTACCAGGCACATAACATATAGAAAGACTTAATCATGAAAAGATTTCTCCCCAAAGGAGCAAAAATTTAAAATAGCTGGTAATGAGCCTTAATGAATTACATCGAGGACCTCTGTGTATAATCAATCCGCTACAATAGTACAGACAATTTTTTTTTCTGTAAAGGGCCACTTAGAAATATTTTACAATAAAAAGTAAAACAAAACAGTCAAGCCATAGTCTAAGCGAGGATACACCTACATTTGACAAAGGACCTATATCTAAAATATAAAAAAGAACTCATACCTAGAAGAAAAACATACATACATATGGAAACTGTTTGAATAGACACTTCAAGAAAGATAAACACCTGAAAGGCCTTCCTTAGCTTAAACTGCATCTTAAAGGCGATCTTATTAAAGACCACAGTGAGACATACCACTATATATCCATTAGAATAAAGTTATAAAGACTTGCTAGTCTTTGTATCAACCTTTTGTGAGAATGTAGATATATTAGATATCTCATACAATTCTGTTGTATAAGCAGGCTGGAAAATAGTTGAGCAATTCTGTGATCTTTAAACTCACACATACTACAAAAGCTGGCCATTTCATCTTTGTTTGAGGGAAACATAGCATTATGTCCACACAAAGTCTTAGACACAAACATTCATGGCAACTTTACCTATAATATTCAAAAACGGGAATCAACCCAAATGTCCAACAACAGGTAAATGTATAAAAAAATGTATATTCATAGAATAAAATACTAATGCTTAACAAAACAAAAGATAAGATAAAGGCAACAACATGATGAGTCTCGAAAATAACTATAAGACAAAATGAGTATATTCTATATGTGAATTCATTTATCAAATGTCTAGAAATTGCAAATGACAGGAAATCAATTTGTTGCTTGGCGATAGCAGGTGGGGTAAGAGTTTGTGATAGATTACAAAAGGCCACAAGAAAAGCTTTGTTCAATGTCTTGATGTGTGTGTTACACATATTTCATAATTGATCAAATTATACACTTCAAATGCAAACAAGTTTTTAAATGATAATCCTAAAAAAACCATTTCTACAAATGAATGTCACACAGACACATGAACAAACAATGAAACAGCAGAAAAATAGAAAGCCCAGAAACAGAGCCAAATTCACAGGTGAATTATATAAAAAAGTGAAATTTCAAGTTTGTGAAAAAGACTATACAATAAATGAGACTAGACAAGGAGGTAGTTCTCATAATTAATATTAAGCTTGGAAACTTCTCAGAGGATCAAGATAAATTCCAAATAAAATTTTTAATGCAAAAATGAAGCCATAAAAAACTGACAAAATGCAAACTTCTAAATAACAGTAAAGTGGGGAGAGTCTTGGTAACTATGAATAAAGTGTAGATACAGTTAAGGGAAAAAATTATGAAATCAACCAAATAAACATTAAAAGAATTGAATGGAAGAGTTCCAATGTCACTATGATATATTAAGTAGCTCAAATCTATTCTCCTGCTGTGAACAGCTAGTATGAAATGGTTTTTGGAAAGAACTTTCAAATGCATGTGATAGCTACGAAGGAATTATGTGTGAGGAACTGTGAGGCCATAGAGTGATTCTGGCATTTGGGGGAACTTGTGCCTAAGAGCTGCCTCTGATAGGAAACAGCAACTAAGAGGCTGGTAAGAAGAGCAGACCCTGGACAGATGTTTTTTGTTACTGTGATGTATCACATTTACTGACTTGCAGATGTTCGACTATCTCTGTTGCCCATTTAATCATGGTCTGTGATCCTCTTAAACTACTATTGAATTTTGTTTTCTATTATTTTTGTTGAGGATTTTTCCATCTATGTTCACCAAGAAAAAATTAGATTTAGATTATTACACATTAGACCAGATGACCCTAACAGACGTTTACAGAATATTCCATCCAACAGCTTCATAATACATATTCCTTTCAAGTGAAGGGTGACATTCTCCAGGATAGATCATATCATAAGCTACAAAACAAGTATTAGTAAGTATAAGAAGACTGCCAGATTATGAAGCATATTGTATGAAACCAGCAATCCATTTTAAGAAGAAAACTAAAATAAGATGGTAGAATTGAGAATATCAGAGGGAGAGTAGGAAGGTGGAGAGAAAAGGAAAATAAACCCAAAGAACCAAAGGCTATAGGTATCTTGGCAGTAGCTGTCATAGGATAACACAGATCTGCAGAGGGGTGAACCTATACTTCTGAATCATATACAGTGTTGTAAACCAATGTTACCTCATTTTAAAAAATAAGAAAAAGAGAAAAGGACCTTAGTTTTAGGTGAATATCTGTGCTTGATTTGAACAGTGTGCTACTGATTCATGAGAAACAGAAGAGAATAGAGAAAGGGGTCGATAACCATGGAACTATCAAAAAATATTGGGGAATGGGTTCGGTTTTGGGTCAAACTCATCTGAGTTCAAAATCTGTCTCTTATTCTATCCTGTTACTGTCAGCTTTTATGCTTCTCAGACTAAAGTTAAAAAAAA